AGACTGTGAACGAATAGTTTAGTCTTATAAGGAACCGATAGGTGATCTTTCCGTTCGAAACTCTTCGAACCACACTATCTCAATATAAGAAATGGAGTATGTATTGCATAATTAAATGAACTGCAAACATATGTACTTTGACCGAAACATGATTGCCAGATCAAAATGGAATTGATAGAAACTGTAAAACACAACTTTTACAGCTTACCTCTAACACGAACTTCGTCACAGTTCGATTAAGGAATGGCCCCTGACCGAGTTGAATATTTTTCGGCTGTCAGTGGGACCGTCAAATCATGTTGGCTGAAGTGACGTGGACGAGCATCGGCCCAACCAAACCATACGTAGGATTTGGATGTATTACAAGGCGTCGGCAAAACCGAGTGTCAAAATGTTCACACCGGTACAAGGCATTGATAAAATCGAGTGTCAAAAGGTTTACATCGGTACCGAGCTGTGGCTCGGATTTAGAAGCAAAAGTCTTCATATTTTGTTACATCAAAAGGACGACTTCATTCTCTCATAGGAGTAAAAGGAGAGTTCATCAAAAGGGAAGTCTGTTGCATGACTGCTGGTAAATCACTGGTAGAACTTCTTTAGGAACACGGCATTCCATGGGTATTGGTGAGGAGTTCCGTCAGGATGTGCAATCCGATACGCCCCGTGGGGTAGAACTTCAATGATTTTAAAGGGTCCTTCCCACTTCGGCCTAGGTGGTCCGGGGTCAGGCCCGGTAATTCTCTTGAGAACCAAATCTCCAACTAGGGATGTACGAGGTTTAAGTTTGGAATTGATGTACCTCTCGCTTCTTTGTTTATAGGCTGCGTTCTTGAGTTTGGCACGAGTGCAAAGTTCTTCAAGCAAATCGAGGTTTGCCTTCATATTTTCCGAGTTGGATTCTTCGGTGTAATTTTGAGTTCGGTAGATTGGCACACCGAGTTCAACCAGAACAACGGCTTCTGAGCCGTACGCCAGTGAGAAGGGAGTTTCGCCTGTGGACGTTCTTGTGGTTGTCAAGTATGCCCATAATACGTGCGGCAACTCTTCTGGCCAGGCCCCTTTAGCAGCATAGAGTCGGACTTTGAGACCATTTTTGATAACTTTGTTAATGGCTTCGACCTGGCCGTTTGATTGGGGATGATATGGTGAAGAAAAGAAATGTTGGATTCCATATTCTTCACAAAGTGACTCGAGCTTCTTTCCTTCGAATTCTCTGTCGTTGTCAGGCGATGGAATTCGGTACTTCGAAGTGACATATAATGGACTTCTATACGAAATCGACAACTTTCGTTCGGTAATCGTGACTAACGGCTCCGCTTCGGCCCATTTAGTAAAGTAATCAATAGCGATAGGCAAGGGATCGATGAGGTCGATTCCCCATTTAGCAAAAGGCCAAGGACTGTAGATTGATTTGAGGAAATCAGGAAACTGATGAGCGTTAGGTGCAAAAATTTGGCACTTCGGACACTTGCGGACCCAAGCCGCAGCGTCCGCTTTCAACGTTGGCCAGTAATATCCTTGTCGTAAGATTTTATATGACAAAGCTTGACCACCGGGGTGAGTTCCACAAATTACTTCAAGCACCTCTTCTAGAACATAGCGGGATTCGGATTCGGTCAAGCACTTCAAGAGCGGGACCGAATATCCTCTTTTGAACAAAGTTCCTTAGTCCATAGTGTATCGAGCAGCCCGAATTCGGAGTGCCCGAGCTTCTTTTGGATCCTGGGGTGAGGCCCCGGTTTCCAGGTATTGAACGATTGGGTCCATCCACGTCGGAGGCCTTTGAGAGGGGGTTGTGTCAACAGCTAGGACCTCGTTACAATGTGTAGACGGCTGCTCTTGTTGTCCGACTTCAACGTACTCGGCACTTTCTGTTCTGGTGCTGGAAGCTAATCGAGACAGAGCGTCTGCCTGCACGTTAAGGGTCCGAGGGATGTGCTTGACCTCGACGGAAAATTTCGACAATTTTTGTTTCGCCAAGGACAAATACGGCGTCAACCGAGGTTCTTTGACTTCGTAGGACCAGTTAATTTGGTTTACTAAGAGTTGTGACTTGGAAAAAACTTTGATACACTTGATATTCATCGACTCAGCTAAGTTTAGTTCAGATAATAGGGCCTTATACTCGGCTTCATTATTGGTCGTCGGAAAGAGAAATTTAATCGAATGGCAGAATAACTTGTTTTCGAGATCAGCCAAAACTATTCCTACGCCTGCTCGGTTTGCAATGAAGGACCCATCGATGTAGATAACCCATGATTGGTCATTATCTTGTGTCTCTACAGCTGGTGTAAATTCGGCAATAAAATCAGATAGAACTTGAGCCTTAATTGCAGTCCTCAGTTGATAGTGAATATCGAACTGACCGAGTTCCACATCCCACTTTACCATCCTTCCCGAGGTGTCGGGCCAATGTAAAATTTGTCGCAACGGGTACGAGGTGCGAACTGTGATAGAATGTTCTTGAAAATACGGACGTAGTTTCCGAGCAGCAATGACGAGTGCAAAGGCAAGCTTCTCCGTAGGAGGATAACGGAGTTCGGCGTCGTGTAATGCCTTGCTGACATAATAGAGGGGTGATTGTTGCACACCTTCTTCTCGTACTAGGACGACACTAATCGTCATATCACTGACTCTAAGGTATAAAAACAACATTTCCTCTGGACTCGGTTTTTGCAACGTCGGAGGGCATGCGAGAGTTTCTTTAATGCTGACGAGAGCTTTCTGACATTCTTCGGTCCATTCAAAACGTTTTCCTTTCTTGATGGCTTCGAAAAAAGGTTTATAGCGATCAATAGACTTGGAGACAAACCGATTAAGTGCGGCAAGTCGGCCGATTAAAGCTTGAACACCTTTGACCGAGGTCGGAGGAGCTAAATCTTGAACAACTTTGATTTTGGTAGGATTAGCCTCGATTCCTTGTTGGCTGACCATGTAACCGAGTAACTTTTTGGATCCGACGTCGAAGGTGCATTTTTTGGGGTTTAAGACCATGGAATATGACCGAAGGATGTTAAACATTTCTTGGAGGTGTGTAACGTGGTCGGAGGCATTTACCGACTTGACGAGCATGTCGTCTACATACACTTACATGGTTTGACCGATTAGATTGGCGAACATTTTGTTGACTAAACGTTGGTACGTGGCCCCAGCATTCTTCAAACCGAAGGGCATTATGGTATAATAATACAGGCCTCGAGCGGAGTAGAACGACGTGTGTTCTGAATCCTCGGGATCCATAGGGATTTGATTGTAGCCCGAGTATGCATCCATGAAGCTCATTAACTCGTGAATCGAGGTGGCATCGACTATGTAATCAATATGGAGAAGTGGATAACTGTCTTTCGGGCACGCTTTATTTAAATCTGAGAAGTCTATACACAGTCGCCACAAGACGCTGCTCTTTTTCACGAGGACGGGATTGGATACCCAAGTCGGGTATTTGGCTTCTTTGATGAACTTGTTGTCTATGAGCTTTTTGACTTCCTCTTCTGGAGCCTTCTGACAATCTGGCCCCATTTTTCTTCGTTTTTGGACGACAGGTTTGATGGTCCAATCGAGATTTAGCTTGTGGCTGGAAACACCGGGGTCAATTCCCTTCATATATTCGTGTTTCCACGCAAAGACATCGGGGTTATTCTTGAGGAATGAAATGAGTTCAGATCGAATAGGTTCTTGGAGGTGACTTCCAATACGTAACGACTTTTGACACACCGGTTCGTCGATGTAAATCAGTTCTACTTCTTCTCTGGGCTCGGCTCGATCACTTCGGCTCTTTTCCTTGAATTGAGTTCGAGGGTCTAATTTGTCTTCCTCTCGGACTGGCTCCTTCTCGGGACGTCTTCCTCGATTCTCCTCTAAGGGACCCGAGGTGAAGGGGACTTCGGGTTCAGAAGTCAGAATCTCGGTTGGTGCGTTTTCTGAGTTGGTGAATGGCTAGGAATCCTCCTTGTCGGTGGTAGTGGCCGAGTGAACGCCGGGGGATGGTGTAAACATGATAAGCTCCCGAGCTTCCCTTTGGTCGCATAATGAGTACCTTCTCCACGTGTCGTGGGGTTTTTAAGTGCGTAATGAAAAATGGAAACGGCACCTCGGAGCTTGTACAAGGCGGTTCTTCCGATGATGGCATTATACTCGTTGTTGATGGCGAGGACTTTGAAGGTTTCCATGACAAGTTTCGTGACATGTTCGGACATACCAAATCGAACAGGCAGGGTAATCTCGCCAATAGGTCGGGACATACTCTCATTATACCCCTGTATTTGATCGTTGCAAGGTCGGATGTCCACGGGGTCAAGGCCTATTTTATCAAAAGCTTTCAACATCAAAATACTTGAGTAGTCCCCAGTGTCAACCATAACGCGGTGAACCGAAATCCTGTATATTAGAACAGTAATGACAAGAGCGTCGGAATGAGGATGTGCACAGTGATTGGCGTTCTCCATGTTGAAAGTAATGGTACAATTGCGGGCATTAATAACATCTCGTAAGTCGGTAGTGAAAACTTGCTTACCCGAATTGTTGGCCAATCGAGCATAGGCTTTGATTTGATGGCGAGATGACACAACTCTGGAATTATTGGTGTTGATGTGGTGAACAGTCATTTCCATTGGACTGGGAGATCGGCTCCGCTTAAGTCTTCGAGAGTTTCCTATTGAATCAACATTAAATACATCTGAGGTGAACATAAATACTTCTTTTTCTCCTTGTCGGATTCGCTTCGACATAACACCCCAGTTTTCATCTTCATCATCATCATAGGGCTCGATTTGACGTCCTGGCCCTGGTTTTCGGACATCAGTGTTTTGATAGAACTTCCTAAGTTGTGGATGACCGATCAAACGTAATAAAGCAGCTAGCAAACTTAGGCATTCATTGGTATTATGTCTCGGTGATTTGTGGTAGTCGTAGTATCGTGACTTATCCAACTTGTCCTCGGGCATCCGAAGTGGTTTTGGTTCAGGCAAAATGCCTTTCCCTTTGACTTCTTTGTAGATTGTGGCAGCCCCAGCTGAATATACAGTCTGGTATCTGGATTTTACGTCGTTAGCGTACTGCCTCCGGGCTACCTTGACTTCGGGGTCATTAGCGTCTCTTCAGGGATAACCTCAGAATTAAGACTTATTTTGCTTCTCTGTGAAGGACTTGTTTTTCTTTTTATCGTCGGTTCCTGACTTGGATGATTTTGGATTAAAATTAAAATCAAGGACTGACATCGCCTCGTCGGCAATAATGTGCTGTTGAGCTCGAGCAAGGAATTCCTGGAAGATGTTCAGCTTGTTCTGGCATAATGTCCAAAGAAAAATAGAATTTGGTTTCAACCCGGCGATTGCCATAACAAGTAAGGTCTCCGGGTGGCAAGGTTCCATGTTCTGGACTCGGTCATTGAATCGAGCTATATAATCCTTGACACTTTCGTCATCCTTTTGGGTTATATTTGCGAGGGATTTTTTCGGAACTAAAGAAACTTGGGCTCATATGAAATGAGATCGGAAAGCCGACCTCAACTGCTGCCACTTCCAAATGGAATGAGGAGGTAAAGAGTGGTGCCATTTTTTAGATCGGGGCCCCAGAGTGAGAGAGAACATACGACACTGAAGTGCAGCCGAGACTCCATGTAGATCCATCCACGAGGTATAATCACCGAGGTGGGAGTCGGGATCCGACGTCCCATCGTACAATCCAATTTGAGGAACCTTGACTTTTCCAGGTACGGGTTTTGATGTGAGCTTGGGTATTAGACGGGAGTCGGCTTCCAAATATACTTGCGCCGAGGTAGAAGCTCGGCGAGGAGGATCTTCCTACACTCTCTGCCGACTCTCCAATTCGAGAATTCTTCACCGCAAAGCTTCTAATTCTGAGGATTCCTGGTGAGCCAAGTGATTTCTTTCTATATGCCGACGGAGATCTGTTTGTGCCGGATTGGAATGGGCTCGAGGCTGCGCAGGAGGTGGACATCGCCAAGGTTGCCCAGATTGACTTTCGGCATTTTCTTCACGGGAGATCACCAGAGGAGGATGAGTGGCCTCAGTATGGTGAGCCGCTCGTTCTCGGTGTGGCAGTGACGTCCGACTTCGTGGTTGAGACGTGGCGTGAGAAGTGGCCCCACCGCCGTCTCGTCGTGTAGGTGGAATTTGCGGGTTTACAAGGGTCATAAGAATGACAGATTTTCCTGGAGCCATCGCCGGCATTCTGGGGATAGTTTGGGCCATCAAGGCGGCGAACCGGATGCAAATTCTGGATTCTGAAACAGAGTTGTATAATCAGGCATATTGGGTATTGCCGCTTGACGCCTGGTTGATTGGGCAGCGCTACGGCTATGGCCATCTCGCGATGTATGACCGCGATGATCTGAGTGAGACATGCTTACTGTGATGATGCAGCTGAAGAGCAAGGGATCGAAGATTAACCTCAAATATCGTATGAGGACCTTCTTCTAGCGCCAAACTGTTGTTATGTGATTGTTAACAACGATTTGAGGTGAGATTATTAAGGTATTTGTAAGTAATATGAACGTAAAACGAACATCAACACGAAGGCAATGGCCCCGGTCCGAGGTGAACCGAGGTGAAAGGTGTGGGCCTTTTGTGTATATATGTTCAATGTTCAGAGAGTGATCCCCGTACAAGAGCAAGAATTTGTCATTTATAGTATCTTTTTGGGCCCGTATCTCGTGGTGTACGGTCACTTTTTCGTAAAGTGGCTTTTTGGTAGGCGGCCATGTGAGTGGGTCCTACTTGAATGATGATATATCTTGTGGTGTGCGAAGGTGTTGTGTATGCGCCTTGTCACCTGCTTCGGGAACGACGACCTCAGTTGGTGGTCACCTTGGTCTTCAACGAGTGGGTCGGTTCTACTCGTGTCGGGTTGAGGTTTGGTAGTATTATAATCCGAAGTGGTCAGGGCTCAGGCCGGTGCTTATAATGACCCTTCTAACACATGATTTCGGGTGAGTAATCTCAGATTATTGGATCGGATGATAACAGGTTCTATACTATGATTTATTCATTATAGACATACAGTAGTATAGTTTTGATATGTGTGTGAATGTGAGCCGGTGGGCTGGATATGCTTTGTGAAATGCTATGTGATATTTCCTACTAGCGGGATCGGTTGATACCGTGGCACTAGTAGAGACCAACAATTCATGGACTTAGGTTAACAGTGTATAATAGTCTAGACAAGGTAAATTATGGAGGCCTGAAATAAGAGTCACTATTCCGAGTTACCTTGAGTCGGGTTTACCATGGTGGCTTGAAATAATAGTCACTTGCCAGGTATTATGAGATGAGAAAGTGGTATTCATTTTCATATGTATATGATTATTATCTAATCTGTGCTTATACTGAAAATATGCATAGTATCATTACCACTGAGCTAGAGGATTGCTCACCCCATTTGTTTTTCAGGTTGATCGAGCTAACGACGAACACGAGGGACGAACTTAGTCATCTCTATTTAGGTTTTTATGTTTACGCAAACTCTTTTGAAATTGATGTTTGGTTTAGATGTTTTGAGTTTTGAAATTTGTTCTGAATAATCTAAACTTATGATGATGTGGATGATTATTTATGTGTGGAATGTTTTGAAATAAAGAATATTTTTGAGTAATGTCCAGAGAGAAATTTTGAAAAAAGATTTTTAAAAGTTCAATTTATTTTTGAAAATTTATTATTTTCTTTAAATAAGTAAGTGGGCGTTACAACGTGATACAGTGGGCGTTACAACGTGGTATCAAGCAAATCTATAGTTTTGTAGAATTGCAAATTTTCAAAGTTAGCAAGTTTGTCGTTGGGAGGAAAAAATTCAAAATTGGTCATATAATTTGGTCACTGTCCAAAAATCCACCCAGTAATTGACCATTTTCAAACTAGGTCCAATAATTTGGCAATTCAAATTTGGTCCTTTTTTATCCGCATCCTGGATAAAAACGTGACGTGGCGTGATGTGACAATTTTTTATCTGACATGGTGTGATGTGGAGGCTTCAATTGTATTTAATAATTCAATTATGCCATGTGGAAATAATTTTACCAATGTGGAAATCAAAAATTAAAATGAGGTGAAAATATATATACCCCTAGTAGAAACAAAAATAAATAAATAAATAAAACTACAAAATTAAAAAAAAATAAAAAATAACAAACGAGCCTGAAGTTCCAGATCTGAAGTTCCATTAAACATATTACCATAGAAATTCAAATTTCTCGAATTTGTTAAGTTCCAGAGTTCGGAGGTATATCGCCGATGACGTTGTTTGTCGGCAGATCGAGATGGGGGAGCACGGAGCTGGCCGATGTTCGTCAGAATTTCCATCACGAAGTAGTTATGAGAGAGGTCACGTTACTGAAGCTTCAAGCAATTTGGAGAAGAAGGAGAATAAATTGAAGCTCTCGAAGGCGGCGACCTTGTTCGCGGCGGCACTGTCCATGGGGACGGTGGTGGAGGCGTCGGCTAAAATGGCAGCGCCGAATATTGTGCATAATGGCGCCCCGCCGCTGCCCGAGGGGGCGGGGCATTAAATCGGTCGAGGTTTGGGGCGGGTCCAGCGAGATGTAGCAGAATGATTTTACCATGTCGTTAATCTGTCGGGAAAATTTTCCAACTATGTTTCCCATTTTTCTCTTTTGCCCTTTTTCTTGTTTATCACAAAAAATAAATCTTTTTGGGGAAATTTTCATGGTTCTGTTTCCCATTTTCAAGCGTCAATCGTCGGAAAATCAATCTCTTCTTCGCCTTAGCCACCGATTTGTTCTCCTCGATACCCCTCCAACTGAAAAAAATTGGTCGCCAAAAAGCTTTTTCAGTTCTGGATATGGTAGACGGCGTTGGGTGTGCGGCGGCCTGAGAAGTCCATATGTGTCTTTAAGTTTGGGTGGGCCGCCGAGAATTGTCGGATAATAGATGAAGAAGACCGGATTTGGGTGATGACGAGTTAGTATTGCAGGGTTCTTTTTTTTTTTAAATTTAACAAGTTATGTGGACTATTTGTAATTTTGAAAGTTATAGTTAATTGCATTTATGGTCTGTAGCTGATGTGGATCATTTAATTTTGAAGTCAATTTATAATCTTGTCACGTAAACAATAATCATGCCATGTTAGATTTAAAAATGCCACGTCACGTTTTTATCCAGGGTACGGATAAAAAAGGACCAAATTTGATTAAATTGTCAAATTATTGGACCCAATTTGAAAGTGGTCAATGACGGGGTTGATTTTTGGACAGTGGCCAACTTGTAGGACCAATTTTGAAATTTTGTCGTCGTTGGGATGTCTCTTGATCTGGTTTGCATGACATGGTATACACATTTCTCTCCAACTGTAATGTTTGTCCAAACAACATGTGGAAAAATTCTACCACACTGGAGTACTTCAGCCATATCCGTTCCTACTCATACTTGGGCTGATATTCCATAAAGTGGACAAAAAAATCCATCATCTTTGTAGTGGTTGATAGTTTTTCGAAATATGCTTATTTCATGACTCTGCACCATCTGCACACTGTTGCTAGTGGCTCAAATCTTTTTTGGATAATATTTTAAAGATCCATGATCTGCCTTTGTTCATTGTTAGTGATCGACACCCGTATTCATAAGTACCATCTTAAAAACATATAGTAACTCTCAACGGGTCTATGTTACCTTTTACATTTGTCTGTCATCCCTAATAAAATGGCCAAAATTATGAAATGAATTGCAACATTGAGATGTATCTCCTCTCCATTACTTGGCCAAATAGAATCCTAAAAATATTGAGGAAATTCTATTACAAGACTCAACTTTTTGTAATTGTATGAATGTAAGACTTGAAATTTTATTTTTCTCAATAGAAGACTTACATTTATCTCAATTTAAGACTTACTTTTTAGTTAACTTTTCATTATAATGCCCAACTAACTTTATTTTTTCACATAAATATGTGAACCAATTATTAT